AACTTATCTAAGAATGATGGAGAAAAACTGGTTCATGCATTTGTTACATCTAGACTGGACTATTGCAATGTTTTATTATCTGTGTGTCCAAAGACTTCTTTAAAAAGTCTTAAGTTAATCCAAAATGCTGCTGCCAGTCTTAACTGGAGTTAGTAGGAGAGATCATATCTCTCCAGTTTTAGCTTCTCTCCATTGGCTCCCTGTCAAATTCATAATAAAATTCAAAATCTTACTTCTTACATACAAAGCCCTCAACAACCTAGCTCCATCATATATTACATATCTTATTGCTTCATATTTTCCTGAGAACTTTGCTTTCAGACTGCAGGTTAACTTGTGGTTCCTAGAGTTTCCAAAAGCAGAATGGGAGGAAGACCTTTCAGTTCTCAGGCTCCTCTCTTGTGGAACCAACTTCCAGTTTCTGTCCGTGAGGCTGACACATTGTCCAGCTTTAAGACTGGGTTTAAGTCTTTCCGTATTGATAAATCCTATAGTTAGGGTCGGCTTGGGTTTCCTGAGCTGTCCCTTAGTTATGCTGCTATAGGCTTAGACTGCTGGAGGACAAACTGACCACATTTCTTCACTCTGCTACTGTCTTTACTCACTCTGCTCAACCTGTTTTGTATTAGTAATTTTTTTTCTATCCTTAACATGTGTTTTTTTTTTGTCTTTCTTCCAATAGGAGGTACACCTGCACCGACATCTGGACCTGCCATTCTGTGTTCGTTTGTTCCTTCTTCCTGTTCCTGTCAAACCAGCCGGTTGAAGCAGATGGCCCTTCTTCCTGAGCCTGGTTCTGCTGGAGGTTTCTTCCTGTTTAAAGGGAGTTTTTCCTTTCCACTGTTGCCATTGTGCTTGCTCAGGATGGGAGACTGCGACAAAGTGAAGATTCAACGAGTCTGCTGGTTTCTTTAGAGAACTTTACTAGTTGGCTTTTCTGTGTATGTGAATGTTTCTGTTCAGTGCCCTGAGACAACTTATGTTGTGATTTGGTGGTATGTAAATAAACTGAATTGAACTGTTGTGGGCGTGTCTCAAAGAGTCCATTAGGCACGCTACTGATTACTACAGATTCATGGTCTGTGTACGTTTCACCACATAAACTGTGGTGAAACACTCAAAATATTTTTCTCATAAACCAAATCTTTATCTTTGCTATTAACTTTGCTAATGCTTGTTGTTTCTAAAGCTAATAACACAACAAAGTCTTGAGTCTCTGGGCAAGAATTAACATATTTATTACACTGTAAAGAGAACAACAATACCAGAATTATACTGCAAAGTTTCACAGACTGACAGACCATAGTTTACAGCCCAAAATAAGAATCAAAATTAATAAAGAAAAAGAAAGTCAACAAGAAACCACAGTTCTGACATAGTAGACTGGAAAGCTCTCTAGAGGACACTGACCCCAAGTGATGTAAAGACCACTCAGCGTCAGCCTACCACTAACCTGTGGTTTGTAATTTCTCAATAAAGTATTGCACAACAACTTCAAATTATTTGAGCTTTTTTTTGTGTGTGTTTTGTTTTTGTACATTACATTTTCTCAAGAGAACGGAAAAACCCTCCCACGTTTTCAACTTCAACTCATTCCCTTCGATTAATGCTACGCTGTTCACGGTTAGCTCTTGCAGTTCCCCCCCCGAGGTTTCCTAACATTTAGGAAATTTCTGTGACATTTCCTGTTCGGTAAACAGGCATGCCTAAATTCAACGCCTTTTTAAATTCTATACAAGATTTGCATTTTGTAATTCCCCCCAGCTGACAAGTCCACAAGCACATCCGCCTGTCTTCACAACGGAGAGAATGGGGAAAAAAGAGGGGAGATATATAAAAAAAAAAAGAGAAAGATTTTTAACCGTGGTCATACTTTGTATCAACAACATAGGAATTAAAAATGTTTTACGTTAAAATTTGCTCTTTTCTTTAGATTTGTTCCAACAGTTCAAACTCTCGATGTACTCAAGAAATGCCAAAGGCATAAAGGAACTTAACAAAAGCATTTTCTTTTTTTGTTTCTTTTCATTTATGTTTTATTTATTCATGAGGTCTGCATTGTTACCAAGTAGTGATATGGTTTTGCAGCTGTATGAGCTTCGACTTTTGGTTTTTTAATATTTTCCTGTTCTCTTGTGCCCATTTGGTTTCGACGTGACCAGTATCAGCGCCACAACTGATGCTCTTATCGTGCTGTAAGAGGTAGAGTGAGACTTGTTTGCCACCGAGGAATTTGTAGCAAAACACAGATAGAGAAGGGAGTAAAGAAAAAAAATAGAGCTTTTCTAGGAATTATTGACTGATAATGTTTAAGTGTAGTTTTTTTTTTAAATCAGATTTTGCCCTGATAGTAATGAACACGTTACTTGTTGTGTACTTGGAAATAAACTAGTGTTCAAGTAGTTTGACTGTCTTTTGACAGCTTCTGAGAAGTTTGCAAAGAGGGTGTCAGACACCTATTTGGATTGTTTAACCCAGTGGTTCCCAACCCTGGTCCCTGAGGAACACCGTCCTGCATGTTTTAGTTCCTCTGCTCCAACACACCTGAACAGGCTTCTGTCGAACTTAAGGAAGTAATTAAACCACTGAATCGAGTGTGTTGGAGCAGAGAAACAACTAAACTAGATGGTGTTCCTCAAGGACCAGGGTTAGGAACCACTACCTTTCAAAGTCAAGAGTACAGGTGTGTTTTAATTAGACAAGAGGGAAGAAATGAGGATGTTAAGCTTCCCCAAGCTTTTGTGGGCCTCCACTTGTTCCTTGAGGTCAGTATTTTATTTTTTTATATAACACGCTTCTGTGTAGCACCAAGGTGTATGGGGTAAAGAACCGTTGTGTGTGTTGGGGTAAGTGCTCCTTTACTGCAAATGAGAAGTTTGTTTGATCTACATTGAAGGTTTACAACAAAGCTGCAACCACAAACTCATCATTTCCTCAAAAATAATTAAAACAAAATACATGCTGAATGATGGTGGTGTGAAATTCTATAGTCTCAAAAACACAACGGCTTAAAGCTGACATAATCATTTGACGTGTGTGTGAGGAGAAAACGAACGGATCTCAAATTCTGCTTCAGAATGGTTACAAAAGTTATGTTACATTCAGTATTATTGCTCCAGGTAAAATGTATCACTGCAATGAATGCCGTTACGTTAAATTTACACTGTATATTACAATTGTAAATAAATGTGTTAAAGGGATACTTCAGCTCTTTTGAAGCGGTGTTCTGCAAAAAGCTTATGCACATTTGATATCTGACCTGTTATAGACAGCTCTTTGAACCTCAATTTAGATACATAGACATTAATTTTGACTGATTAACTGATGAGCTAACAAGTCCATGGGAGGCCAGGACTACTCATCTCCAAACCTTCATAGCAGTTCATGAGAAAATTGTTTTATAAACCTTCAAGTTGCAGTCAGCTTTACTTTACCAAGCAATTTACAGAATATTCTTTGGGTTTTATTTTATTTTTTTTGCAATCACAAACAGCACCAGCAGCTCTGTAGCCTTGTAAGGCAACATTTAGTGTGGTGCAAAACATTTGTAAAACAGGATTTCAATGAAAAGCTATGATACTTTTGAGACTGGAGTTGTTTTAAGAAAGCATCAATCCACTTTTCTCCCGACACTTTAGCTGTTAGCTTGTCAATCTGGTGAAAAATAAACTACATTTAGCTAAACTGAAGTCATTCACAGAGCTATCCACAACAGGTAAGATCATTTTTGTTCATATCTGTTCCATAGAAACTTGCTTCATGAGATCTAAACTATCTATTTAATGTTTATGAAGGAAAAAAAAAAGTGACATCGAACTTCGTTTTGGTCTTGACAGTGTAAACCAAACCTGTAAAAATAAATAATCCGAGTTGACAAACCTCTTTTTAAAAGTGTTTAAATCAGGATTTTGGTCCTTGGTGTCAGTCTTTGGCTGTTTTTGGAGTCTTCATGTCTAACTTGTGTGTTAACTGTGTGTGTGTGTGTGTGTGTTACCTGGTGCTTTGCAGTGTTAAAGCTGTCAATTTGAGTCTTCACCTCTGCATTTGGAAAATCACTTTGTTAAATGTTTTTTTTTTTGTATTTTGTAAAATTATTTTTTTTTGGTTGTTTTGAAGTTTTTCTTAAAAATAAAACTAATATTTAACAAATGCTCAGCAATGTGCATGCACTGTCTAACGTTTCAAAGAATAACTTGACATTATGGGTGTTCTTTTTATCGTATGTTGAGTAGAAAAACAAATGGTTTAAGTGTTTATGTCCCCCCCAATTTCAGCCACCCCATACCCAAAAATTAAATCTAATACTACGTCCAAAAAGTTGATGAATTATGGCTCCATAGTGACACACAAGTATGCTGAAATAAAGCATGCCAAAAATAACTCCTGTGACAGTGCAAATACATATATGTACGTCCCTTGTACAAAATATTTAGGTTAGCATTCCACGCAACATGCTAGTTCTCAGAAAAGATCCGGGTCAGACTCAAGTAGCAGCTCTGAGATATAGCTTGTCTTTTCTTTAAGGGAGGAGGGTTGGGGGGGTCAAACTTAAGAAACTACAAAGAAAATTACATTTACACACAAAATAGAAAAGCAGCTTGGAAAAGAAATAACTCTTTTGTTAAATCTCTTTCTAGAAAGAGAGTTCGGCTTTGAAATGTGACTGCGTTTAGGTACAATGCATCGTCACAACTGTCCAACACATACGCAATAAATAACCATTAGTGACACCACAGGACAGAAGTCTTAAACACCATGACATCTACAGAAAATGAATAAAACTATAATAAAAAAGGAGGTGAATCTCCACACAGCAGGCGTCCAGCTGAGTGGCCCGGCAGCTGCCATCCAGGTGGTTTGACAGTCTCGCATGTAGGAGGATGGCCTCCCTTCCTTCTGAAAGCCCAGAGAGTGAATGTGCGGATTGTTTTCAGCACATCCTTCACATGTGCTGCAGGCAAAGTTTAGCATCTTGTCCAAGATGTCTTCCCTTTACTTCCTTTTGGAGGGTTGGATTTGTATTTCACAGCCCACTGACCTGCATGTTATGACAAGCGAGGGGGAAATAACATCGGTTGAACAGCTGGCTCCACTTGCAATCTGCTGCACATCTGCCCATTTCATAGCGGTCTGCGGGCCAGAGGTTCAGCTCATCCTCCTCCCCCCCCAGAAAGAAGGAAACTTGTTTATTCATCGGCCTTAAATCTGCGATGAGAATAGATCACGTCCGTCGTTCTGCGAGCTAGTAACTTCACCTTGGTTTGTTGTGAAGGAAAATGAAATGGGCTAGTCTTATGTCCTGCCTACAGACGGCAAATTAATCTTAATTTAAAGATGAAAAATAAAACCATTTAACAAGGGAGGGCACATAATCGCCTTGGGTTCAGGGATATCTCAGATTCTTTTTTGATATTTACAGAAAGAAAAATAAGCTGCGATGACAACAAGATTACCAACGACAGGCACGACGACAAACATACAACAAGAAGAGAGAAAGTGTAACAATAAAAGGATGTCAATATTTCAACTCATTCATTCAGAACAAAGAATATCTTTGTGTTTCCTTAAAGTCGTGACAAGTCAATATGACCTGATTATGGACCTCGTTATCCTCCTCGGACTGCGCTGCACGTTAGACAGAAGCGTCGCCGTCTCTGCCTGTTAGCCGTGCCATCTTAGAATCTTTGCAAGGCAATGTAAGATCGTAAACAGTCATGCTGTTTGTGGGTTTGAGGGCTGGTTGTTACGCTTGGTGAGCTCTCGCTTCTGTCTTAGCGGGGTGTGCTGTCAAGGGCGGAAGAGGACGGGGTGCTGGGTGTGGAGGACCTCGGAGTAGCAGCTGGTGGGGTTGCAGCCGGACTCCCGGTCCCACTGCTCGGGGTGCAGGCGGAGGAGCTGATGGGAGCAGGAGTCTCTGACCCTGGAACGCCTCCTTGCTGCTGGCTGGACTGCTGCTGCTGCTGCTGCTGCTGAGCCTGCAGGGTCTGACCGCAGACGTGGTGGTGCTTCTCCCAGTCCTTATGTTGGCAGAAGGAGCCGCAGTAGCGTGCCGTGTTGCAGCCACTACACGTCTCACTGGCCTTACGACCGCAGTTCCAGCAGCTCTAGCGTACACAGAGAGACATGCAATAAATCAAGCTGCAGGACTCGTAATCTGACAGCGAAAACGATTAAATACAGCGTCATGAAACATGCATCTGCTTTTACACGCTTGTGCTTAAAGCCAACCACAGACAGATCAAAACCCATCTCTTATTACATAGGGCCTCCTATGTGCACATTTATCTTCGAAACCACAGGAAGAACACATAAGGGTGGCTGCAAGTCCACAGGAAACCGGAGAACAGCCTGTCAAAGTCCACCGATGAAATGCTTCTCGTTCAAAAACGTCACTCCTGCAATTAATGTCAGATGTAAGACATATTTCCGTCTCAATTAACTGATTAAATCTCAAGGTCTCTGATGGTCATTAGCAAATGAGAGCTGCTTTTCTTATTTCCTCTCAGCTGAATTAGTAACACCCTCCTTTCCATTCTGGCCACTGTGTGGAACAAATAAGGAAAAGGAAGGTGACAAAAGCAAACGCCTGAGTGTCCTTCCTTTATTTTTCCCTCTTGTTAATTCATGACTCCCTTATAGTATAACCATTTTACTATATTTATAAAGCCGGGGATAATTAGCAATATTTTACGTTCATAATGATGTACCATTATGTGATATTATTCATATGGTTATAAAATGGTGCAGAAGCTCCTTTAAAAGAAATAAATAATCTGGATGGATGAACCGCATCGAACCATATCTTACTCGTTGCAGATAGCCATCGAAAATTAGTTTAAAGAAATAAAATTTGATTTTGATTAAATTCACAAGCTAACAGCTGGTCCAAGTGGGGTCAAGGACAAAGTGGATTGCTGCTATCTTAAAACCCCAATTTCAAAATGTTCATTGCAGTTCTTGCTATAGCTGTTTTATAAACTTTTATTCCAATTACGATTAACTTGTATTTCCATATTCCTGTTGAAAGTGCCCCAAAAGTGCCACAACTAGATGCATTTTTTTTTTTGTCTTACAAATAATCATATATGGGCAGCACAATGGCTTTGTTGTTAGCACTGTTGCCTCACAGCAAGAAGGTCCTGGGTTCAATCCCCAGTTTGGACCTGCAGTCTTTCTGTGTGGAGTTTGCATGGTCTCATGTTTGCACGGGTTTTCTCCGGTTTCCTCCCACAGACCAAAAACATGCATGTTAGACACAGGCCTCTGCTGCAAAAGAGATCTGTGTCCTCAATGGGATTTTTCCTGGTTAAATACAAGTCAATAAAACAAAAATAATATATATTTTTTAATGTAAAGAACCAGCAATGTAACAGTTTATAATATATTAACATCAATTAATTTCAGCGTTTTAACTTAAAGATGGCAGCAATCCACTGGTACTTACAGTACCATTAGAGCATCAGTCCGGACAGAACTAAACTCTTATTTCCTCAGAGTGATTTGTTCCAAGAACTATCTATGACAAGTAAGATAATAATTGCTCATAATCTCGTCCCAGAACTCCCACTTCAAAAGAGCCGAACTGTTGTTTTAAGATTCGGTACAATATCAGATGTTGTGGAGAGTGGTGGCGCAGAGGTTAGAAAAGGTGAGCCTGTGATTGGAAGGTCGCTAGTTAAACTCCCCGCATCCACCCTCATTTACCCACTCTGGGCCCTTGAGCAAGGCCCCTAACACCCCTATTTGCTCCCCTGGGTGCCCCAGATGGCTCCACAGAGGGCTGTGGTAGCTCGGTGGTCTGTTGCATCAAGAAGGGCATCTGGTGTTAAAACAATCACCAAGTCTTTGTTCACTGTGGTGACCCCTGAGGAAGGGAGCAGCAGAAAACAACAACAACAAAACATCAGCTGTTGTTTGTGCGTTGTTACCTCGCTGGAGTCTTCCTGTTGGTTGATGATGGACAGTGCATCTTCAGCTGCCTGACGCTTGGCCTCGGCTACCGTGCGCTCCATCTTGGCCCGCTCACTGCTGATCATGTCATGAGCCTTACGCTCGGCCTCAGACACAGCTTTCTGTAGCTCAGACATGGCCTGCCGCTTCACTTCATTCACCGCCTCTTCTGCAAAGAAAGTGGACATCAGGCCTCCTGTCACTGCCACCTACAGCACCCAGCGGTTGGGTTTCATAATCAATGTACATTTGGAAAGTTAAAATGCCACCAATGTGTTTACAGATGACTTGAATCTATCTAAGTTCAGAGCCTATAGCTGAATTACAACCTTAAAGCTGAATTCCAAACTTACAAACAAAAAAAATAATATTTGATTTTCCTCAATTGCGTTGCTTTTAACGTTTCTTACACAAGAAAATAAATTCACCTCTCAAATCAAGTCATTATGTTTATAATGTGTCTTATGGAAATTGGCATTTTTTTTCCTGGCAATAAACAACTTTGACCATTTGGTGCCCTTTCAAAAAGCACCGACTCATCGTCATAACTGTGTGACATTTTAAAAACAATAAATTATTTTCTGAAAAACCAGAAACATCTCTTTTAGCAGCAATTATCTGTCTGAAGGTTGTGCCTTTGAATAGGTTATTGCTTAAGGTGTTTTCTCTGCAAAACATTTTTAGTAACTGGCAGTCTAGCTAAAAATCAAAACTCAACACGCTTTAAAGATGGAAAAGATCTACCGTAGATTTGTCATTATAAGAGCAGTTTTAAGTAATTGCTTGTTTCACCGAACAATACTTAACTAAATATTAAATCTAGCTGCTGTAAAATACAAATACAATCTGGTATATTAGTTCATTTCAATTGTATTACAGGAGTCCCTCGCTACTTCACGGTTCGTTTATCGCGGACTCGCTCAATCGCGATTTTTCAAAATAAGGTTGGACATGACACAACTGGCTGATTGATGGATGAGCCGCATGATCACCATGGAATTTTTATTTAATATAAATTGTTTTTAATTATTTACTACCTCTTGCACCTCTGTGCAGCCCACAGCTGCAGGATAAACTTCCTGCTGAAGCTAGTCAGCTGTTCTCTGTGCAGAGCCGAGAAGTGGGCGTGGCCAAGAACGATTGCAGGTGGCAAAGAGCACAAGAGACAGGGAGCTGAAATCATGGCATGCTGTGCTCTTTTAGAGCATTTAGAGTTTAGAAACATTGTTTAGAATATTGCAAGAGTGTGGGAAGGGCTTAAAA